GAGAGAGAGAGAGAGAGAGGATCCCTGACCTGATGCTTTCAAATAGGCCAATTCAGAGAGAACTAACTATCCATTGTTTATTGTAAATTTATTTTTATTCTTCAGAGAATTGGACATTTCACTGGCAAGTGGGGTATTCTAGGTTCGTTCCCGTACATTTCTGATGAATGTTCTGGATCATATGCTTCATATAAACCTGAGATTGATCCTTTGTTCCTTTGTTATTTCATTCATCCTCTTTCTTTGAATGTTTTATGTTGTTGCTTTTCATTTTTTTTAAAAGACTGCATCATTGGCATTCTGATGCATATTTGAATCTAAGCACATGATTCATGTGTTTGTTTGCTCTTATATGAGCCATTACTCATATAGCATTGGCATAGTGGTTAGCTTACTGAGTAGAAGTGCAGATCAGGCTAGTTAATCCTTGTAATGTTCTTAGTATCAGTACTACATTTTGAGAATAGTATCTTTTTGTTCCAGTGTGATCTCTTGTAAGTTAGTAACTAATTTCTGTTAAGTATTGTTTCAGTATCCACTAATCTCAGCATGTGTGTCTTTTTATTTATTTTTATAATTGGCCAAGATGACTTAGTAGATCCTCAAAATTATAGCATATGGATTTCTGGTCTTTAATACTTTTTAATATATGTTTCTTTCAAAAGGGATGTGAAATATGGCTCTTGATGTTCTTTTTGTTCCTTTTCTTCTTAACTTATTTCACCTTTTGGTGGGGATTGTTTATCATTTTTTCTTTGAATCTTGAAATTAAGGTTCACTTTTATTATGTTTCTCTTTCTCATAGAAATTACTCCGTATTGTCTTAATGAACGACATGGAATGGAACTTTAGAATAAATTCAATTTAATGTAGTTTAGTCCATAAGCTTGAATTTTTGTAGTTTACATTAGAGTTGGGTTTGTTTTTTGATCCTGCTTTCCGTTTATGAAGTCCATGGATTTCCATACATGCTCACTTGACTTTTTTTTTTCCCTTTTTTTTTTCGTTTTGAGTTTTTCGTCTTGGATTGGGGTATATTTATCATGTTGTGTTTAGATATCTAGCATCTGTTGTGGTTAATATATTGAGTTTCTACACATCTAGCTTGTACTGATTTCTTATGCATATATCTTTATTAACAGTTGAATCACATAATTTTTGTTTATTGAATGTTTGAATGCTGCATCATATAATATTTTGCAATATTTTCAAACTTGGAAGCTGAAGAAGGGGGGTTGTCAAAATGGGTAGATGAGTTATTGTCATAATCGGACATGGTTGGCAATTGCATTTATTTGAATAGTAGATTGACTGTTATGCGTTGATGCCTGTTTTCTTTTGACAACGATAATTTTTTTGACAACGTGTGTTGATGCCTGGTAATAGTGTGTATGGAGTAGTTAATACACTATTTTTTTTATATGAAGGTGGCAATATATATATATATATATATGGGGCGCCTAGGCCTAGGCGTGCGGCCTGAGGTCTCTTTGGTACCTAGGCGCTGGGTGGACCCTTTTTTGAAACCTGGTTAACAATGTATGTTGTCCATATATGGACTGTTAACAGTTCATAGACACTGTTATCACATTGTTAGCAATGCTAACAGTGTTGATGGATGTATATGGACTGTTAACACTGTCAACAGTGTATATGAGCAGTCCATGACACTATTAGCTGTGTATATTGGTAATCCATAACACTGTTAACAGGGATAAAGACGGCTAGCAGCCATATATCTTAACAATTTCTATCATAATTAGGCCATTTTGGCGGTTGCATTTATTTGAGTGATTGATTGATTGTTATGCATCATTTGCCTTCTTATATATCCACTATAGTTTTATTGTATTATTTGAAATTTGTTTTGAGAGAATTGTTACATTATTTGAATGATGGGTTGATTTTTATGCATCAATGCCTTTTTATAGTCCATATGCACTGTTAACAGTGTACATGGACTGTGAACAATCCATAAATGTCACTCTCAAGTGTATTGGACTCTATATACTGTTAGGTTCATGTATGGACTGCTTGTAGTCCATACGCACTGTAAACAATGCTATGGACTGATACACTATTACAGTCCATATACATCCATAAACAATGTTAACATTGTTAACAATGTGTTAATAGTGTTAACAAATAACGTGTTATTAGCAGCGGTTTAAAAACGGATCGGTGCCCCAGATCGGGTACCCCAAAAAACCCATCCGGATCGGTGAATCGGCAATTCGGATCGGAAATTGGTCGAATCGGTTGGATTAAGCTTTAAAAAAATCTAAAAAAGATATTAAAATTCATTATAAATATTGTTTTTTAATAATCCAATAAGAAATCGGGGTACTTTTTTTTCATCAATATGTGAATATTGAGTTTTTTTTCTCTGAATGAACTTTTTTTAACAAAAATACTTGTTGTATTTTTGACAAAAATAAGAAATGAGTTTTTTGACAAAAATATGAACTTATTTTAACAAAAATAAGAAATGAGTTTTTTTGACAAAAATACTTGTATTTTTTTTTATAACAACTTTTTATTTTTTTGACAATAACTTTTTATTTTTTATTTTTTGTTTTTTGACAAAAGCCTTTTGGTTTTTTGACAAGAAAAAGAATTGATAAGAACCTTTCATTTTTTTTTATGCAAAACTTTTTTATTTTGTAGATAAGAAAAAAAATTGACAAAAAGCGAAATTGATAAAAACCTTTTATTTTTGTTTTTTAGAAAAAGCCTTTAATTTTTCTTTATAAGAAAAAAATTTGACAAAAAATTTCATTTTTTTTATACGAAAATTTTTATTTTATTGATAAGAAAAAAATTGACAAAACCAAAATTGATAAAAACCTTTTAATTGTTATTTTTCCAAAAAACCTTTAATTTTTTTGATAAGAAAATAATTTGAAAAAAAAAAAAGGAAAAAAAACAGTTCCTCAACGAGAGGAATCGAACCCGCGTCCATCCACACAATGAGCGCATGCAATAACCAGTATGGCACTTGCAACTTCTTGTTAAGATAATCGTTAACAATATGTATAATATATGAACGTTTTAAGGTATTACTTTTTCACATAGTCCCACATCAAAGAGAGAGAAGCAAATATAGGTGAATAAATAGTTCTTTGTACTCACCATTCGTAGTGCGTGTGAAGCAATAAGATCACGCGATGCGTGTGGATCGTGAGCACACATGCGTGAAGGAACTCAGGGCCCGTGAAGCGTGCCCGGGGTGGACCCGTGGGCTCCCCCGTCTTTGATGAATTTTCCGGTCTCCCGACGAATTTTGCCTCAAAATTCCCTGAAATTTATAAAAATGCCCTTGATTTTAGAAAAATCGGCAGGTCCTGACGTCATGACGCAAAAAACCGGGTGATTTACTATGCAGAATCGCTGGTTCTGTCTAGAACCGGGCAAATCCCGGCTTTACCTAAGAACCGACACGGGATGACCGATTCCCGATTCGAATCGGTCGATTCCATGCCGACTCGGTGATTTTTAAAACACTGGTTAATAGTGTTTATGAGCTGTTAACAGTCAATATACAATGGGCTGTTAACAGTCCATATACAATGTTAGCCGCGTAACTGTTAACAATTTATATGTATGGGAGTGAGGTTTATGGACTGTTCACAATTCATATACATAGTTAACAGTGAATATGGACAACATACATTGTTAATAGTTACATGGACTATAAAAAGGAAATGATGCATAATAATCAATCCATTATTCAAATAAATGCAATAAGATTATCATGCATATATAAGAAGGCATTGATGCATACCAATCAAACCATCATTCAAATAAATGCAATGGCCAACCCGGCCTGATTAGGATAGAAACTATTAATAGTGGATATGGACTGTTAAATGTCCTTATACACCGTTGGCAGTAGTATAGACTGCGCATATATAGTGTTAACAGTCCATATACATCCATAAAACTATTGGTGTTAAGCCCCTTTGATATCTCTTCATCGCAAAGAATTCTCAATGTGCAAACATAGAGGCAAAGGACTAATCTTTGAATATAAAAAAGAATGGATTTGCGGGGTCCCAAATGAATTCGCCTATTTGACGAAAACCTTTGTTCTTTAGAGGATCTATCTCGTGTCTGGTATTGCGTGGTTCCACTCTACAAGAACTGCAAATCCTTATGTCTTTTTATGAGAGATGTTCTACTTGTCCCAAAATGACATAGACCGATAGGGAATTGTTAGCATTGTTGTCAGTGCGTTAACAATGTATATGGACTGTTATCTTGAGAGAGAGGGAGAGTTCTCTTGAGAGAGAGCGATACTTTTCATTGACTAGCCTTGAAAGAGAGAGGGATACTTCTCATTGAATAGCCTTGTTTGGTCTTTGGATATATCAATTCTATTCATAGTTTTGTTATGGTCTTAATGTATCAATACTATTCATAATTGTTTTCTGCCTAAAGCGATGTATCTAGAATAAAGCCGCAAGCCTTGCCTTTTTGCAATCTGAAGAGCAAAAGACTGAAATGGAGGTGTGCAGGGGTAGGTTAGACAAAATTAAGAGGAAAAAGCACACGTTGGAGGTTAGAAAAATAGTGGAAAGCCTCTTGGAAAATGGGAGCCTAGTCTTGGATGGAGAAGCTGGGTTAGAAACATAAAAGAGAAGCTGGGTTAGAAACATAAGAGATAGCTTTAAGCCCTTTGACAATGGGAGCCAGTTCACCAATTCTAGATGGGGAAGTCGTTAGGAGCCCTTGAAAAATGGGAGCCCGATTGCCAAGTCTGGATGGAGAAGCCGTCAGAAGCCCCTTGAAAAGTCGGAGCCCTATCTCCGAGTCTGAGATAAAAGGTAGCTTTAAGTCCCTTGAAAAATGGGAGCCAGATCCCCTAGTTTGGATGGAGAAGCCCTCAATCTTGGATGGGAAGATAAAAGGCTTTAAGCCCCTTGAAAAATGGGAGCCAGATCCCCGACTCTGGATGGAGAAGCAGAGGTTAGAAAGATAAAAGATAGCTTTAATTTTCTATCTGTGAAATAGTTTTAAGTTTTACCCATCAGCATGCAGCCCCTCATTCCAAATTTCCTCATCAGGAAGAGCAATTTCATTGTGCTGTGGCCATTGGAAGTTCAAATATATATTAATTAGTACTAGAGTATTAAAATGTCTAGTTATGCCGCTTACCTTGTCCTTGGCATCAAAGTAGTGAACTAGACAGAGAGCGTCCCCCCTCCTGAAAATTGCCAACAAAAATTAGCACAAAGATGAGTTTTTAAATATGTATATACTAAGTAGAGTTAATTATTGGAAATTACGAGTTAGCAAACAACACATGAATCATGTGTTTGAGGAGAAATGGAAAATGTGCAGGTATACTTATTTTATTTCTTGAGAATCTTACATTTTCAATATGAGGTTTAGATTCTTGAAATCTTAGGTGCTGCAATGATTCATATATGATGACCCAATGGAAAAAAAAACAATGGTATACTGACAATAAGAAAGAAAGAATAAGAACGAAAGAGGAACAATAGCACACGAAATAGTAGTTAGGGTAAAAATGGAAACTGATGCTAGTTTTATTGGGTTTTGGTCTGGAGCATTCATTAAATGGTAGTTTAGCTGTTTATATTTGATTTTACAATGAGAAAGAAGTTAGTTTTGAATCGGGCATATTGAGTTACCTGGGTGATTAATGAAGTATAAATTTTTCATTTTCCTGTTGAAGGTAAATATGGCACAGAAACTGTACAGCTTGTGTTTATAATTCCTTTTCATTTAATATTTTCTTTTTTGTAGATTTGTATTGGATGTGAACTTTAAATTTAAGTTTAATACAAAATAAGAACACTTGTATTGGAATTCTTGGAGGATCATGATAGTGCAATACTGTAATTACTTGGTGATGCCCATATAATTTATTTTGATAATTTTCATATATGGGATCCATACATGATTTTTTATGAGGGTTAACGCATTCATTAATTTAAATTATACTACCTCATTTTAGTTGATTGGTAACTTTATTTTATTATGTTTTACTTGGGTGGCTAAGCTAGGTTTTGAACCGTAGACCATTTCTTGCTAGTTACTATGGGTAGGGATCAAAGTATGAAACTTTTTCCCCTTATGTTTTACTTGGGTGACTTCATATCTGCTTTTCTCATCTTGTATTGGTCTTGAGTTTATTAATTCTGGCTAGTTGGTTTCTGATGTTGTCACCCTTGGGGAGGGGCATAATGGCTATTCGGTGCCTACAATTTTCTCCCCTTTGTTGTGGATTTTTGGTATCCTCCTGTTATCCTTGGAATTTTAGCCGAGCTTTGTATCTTTCATGGTAGCCTTTCGTGATCATATGAAAATCATTCTAAGTATTGAAAATGCAATTCTACTCCATTTCTAATGACTCTAGAGGCATTTATACTGAAATGAAGTACCATTTTATTTGGGGGCCACACAGATTGCACATGGCTAGTGAACCTTTGTAGGCTGTATCACGAAAGAGCTACTATCGGTCTGCTTCTTTTTTACCAGTGTCAAATACATTGTGATGCCTTTGTTTATTCTTTTCATTATTCCACATAAAAGAAAAGTATCCCTCTCATGCCTTAGTTTTCTTGACGCTGATTCTGTTTATGAGCATGATTGTAAGTTAGAACTCCTTATTGTGTTGTGATTCACATATCTTGTTCTAACTTTGAATAACACCAGCAGTTCATTTCTGCCAAATGTATCTTTCTAACATACAAAGCTCATTGGCCAGGCAGTTGGTTTCTCATTAGATCTGGCTTAGTGGCCTTTTTGGTTAGATTTAACCTGGATGCTGCATCTGTTTGGGCTTCTGCAGACAAGATTGACTACACGTGATTTAAAATCTACTGAAAGGACGGCGTTAAGATTTACTCAGAATGTCAAGTGGTCCTGGGCTTGAGTCTCTTGTGGACCGTATGTGCCTAAACTCATGAACTGGCTTGTTAAATGTAGAAAATATAGAGTCTCTCATTGCTTTTAAATGTGTTCTCAATATAGTGGAATGCTTGCCAGAATGGTTGTGTTGATGGTACACAAGTCCTATGCTTTTAGAACTAGGTAGTCATTTTAGTTTGTTTCAGTCAATTCTCTAGACCAGCTGTATTTGGCTATAAAGTTTTACTACATTCTCAACTTACGATTCCCTTGTTTCTGTTATGTGCAGAAACTATATCAGTTATCACAAATGATGGGCGGAACATAGTGGTATGTATGCAGGCCAAGGGTTTGAACCATATTTTCTTTGATTAATTCTTCTTTATATCTGATTTATGGGTAACAGGTGTTACTTCTTACAGGGCATTTTGAAAGGTTTTGATCAGGCCACAAATATCATCCTCGATGAATCACATGAACGAGTTTACTCCACAAAGGTTTGTGATGTTTTTCTAAGTACTGATTCTCATTTTGGACTTGAAGTTTGAATATGTTTCTGTTATAATATGCAAGAAAATTGTGTAATTCTAGTTTAGATTCATAAGATAACAATATTGGTAAACAGGGAGTGCAATTTGTGATGCCAGAAAGATGCTAGCAGAGTTTTGTACATTGTTTGAGTTGGGACTTAGAGTATAACTGGGATTGATAATACTGTAGCATGTGCTTCTTAGATATTTTCATTGTCATTCTTAGGTGACACTTTTTTCTTTTCTGTGTTTGTTTTTTTGGGATACATTTGTTCTTAGATGACACGAATTTTGCATCATTATGATTACTACTAGTCATCTACTTAGAACTTTTACTTTATCCTTCTCTATGCTTTTCGTTCTTGCGCTTAGCTTAAACCAAATACCATTATTTCTATGAAAAAAATTATAAAAACATGTATGGATCTAGGTAATGTCAATCTTAAGAAATTAGTGTTAGAGGCTCGGCTGATTTCCCTTGGATTCCCCGCCCCCGTATTGTACAAAGAGGCTCGGCCGATTTCCCTCGAATTTGCCACCTTTTTTTGTACAACTTGTGGCACATAAAAAATTCTAAAATCCCAAAAAATAGTTGAACATATGGATTGCTGAATAAATATTTTATACATAATTTGTTTTTTTTGGCAAAGATCTTTTTCTTTTTTCGCTAAAATTGTGAGGGGTTTGAGCAGTGGGTACCTGTCCGTCGTATTAATAGGTGAAAGAAGAATATACAGTAGATGAGAGTTATCTTACTATGTACTCTTCCACATAGGTATGTACACCATGGCCTCTCTACATGCTTTCAAGGGGGCTTTGAAGTTTCTAGCCAAAGATTGGTGAGTTTTTTTTTTCCCCATAATTGCGTTTTTTATAGTTTCCTTTTTTTTGTTTTTGTTTTTTGAAATGTTCCCAACTATAAAACAATTTTAACTAATTTGGAATTTTAATTTTGCTCTTGGTTTCTTGACTTTTAATACATTTATTTTAGTTTTGATATATTTTTATTTCTTAAATTTTTATAGGGCTTTTGGCTTTTGGCCTTGTATAATATGCAGGTGAGTCCACTTGGACTTGCCACAGGGACCGAGCATCTGGCCCAAGGTGAGTTTTTAAACACTGTAACAAATATGTTACTCACTCCTAGGAAAAAAGAGAAATCATTAGTTATCAAAGAAGTCTTAGTTATGGACGACTTAACTAGGTACCTACAAGATGAGGCACCGTAGTGCGTGTTGTTCGCAGGTGACATAGTTTTGATCGATGAGACCTGAAACTACGTCAACACAAAGTTAGAACTTTGGAGGGATGCTCTAGAATTTGATGGTTATAAAATTAGCCGGACTAAGATAGAGTATATGGAATGCAAGTTTAGTAATAATAGTAGTAGAGACGAGGAAGTAGTTAAAATTGACGGTATAGAAATACCAAAAAGAGCGCACTTTCGCTATCTTTGGTCGATAATCCAAAAAATGGAGAGATTGGGGAAGATGTCGCACATAAAATTAGAGCTGGGTGTGCGAAGTGGAGATATACAAACAGAATTTTATGTGATCGCCACATAACAATGAAGCTGAAGGCCAAGTTCTATAGGACAATTGTGAAATTGGCTTTGCTCTATGGGGCAGAATGTTAAGCGGTCAAAAAACAATATACCTATAAAATAAGTGTACCAGAGATGCAGATGTTGAGATGGATGAGTGGCAAGACAAGAAAGGATAGAATTCAAAATGAATACATTCGGGAAGATTTAAGTGTGGCACCAATAGGGGATAAGATGAGAGAAAGTAGACGTAGGTGGGCTGGCCATGTGTGGCGCAAACCCAATACAATACATGTTAGGAGGTGCAAGTCAGTTCAAGTGGAAAGCTAAAAAAGGGCAAAAGGTAGGCCCAAAAGAACATAATTGGAATTAGTGAGAAAAATATACGAACTTATGGCTTCATTGAGGGTATGTCCCTCAATAGAGCAGAATGGTGGACCAAGATTCGTGTAGCCGACCCTAATTTGTTGGGAAAAGGCTTTATCGATGATGATGATGATTAATTATCAAAGAATGGGGCCCGTTTTCTTAGATAATGAATTAGATATTGCTTAGTTTATGAAAATCAGATCTTAGTGCTTAGTTATGATAGTTATAATCTTTGTATGTTGCTTAGTTATTATAGTGATCGTCTTCGTTTGATTGCAAGAGTTTCTCTTGGATGAAGAACTTATACGGGAATAAAGAAAAAAAGAAAGAGGCAAAGTTAGGGTAGTTGCACTTTAAAGGAAATTCTTTTGTGGTGGTATGAAATAACTACCTACTACTTGCCCTGGCCTTTCCCCCCCCCCCCACCCAAAAAAGAAAAAAAGAAAAAAAAGAAAGATAGAAAAAAAGGAAAAGAAAAAAGTGAACCCCACATGCTGCAAAAAAAAAGAAGGAAAAAAGGAACACGCATTAGAGAATAGAAAGGCCAAGTTGTCAAATATTATCTTGGCAATTTTACAAATTTACACCTGCCTTCCCCACCATTAAAAACACGCGTTCTGAATTGACAGTTGATGTTGCTTGCGACTTGGGCAATGGGTAGTCAAATGACTATTTTACCTTGGATCTTTTTTTTCTGTTTTCAAAAGTTGAGGACAACATAGGAACCGTCTATTATTTCTCGAAGTAAACTTCGTAGCCTGCCTATCTACTGGCATTTCATTTGTTCAGATGTTGGATTTCTTGTTATTTTTTTTTTGCCCAGTTAAGATGACAATGGATTGCTGTTATCCTTTGAAAAGTATTCTATTTTTATAATAACCAGTGATTAAGGACCTTGACTTGGGCTTTGGCTTGTCAGGGTCCTTGTTCTTTTTTTCTGTTTTCAAAAGTTGAGGGCAACATAGGAGCTATCTAACAATTCTCAAAGTAAACTCTGTAGCCCACATATCCTACCGGCATTTCAATGTCCAGAGGTTGGATTTCTTGATATTTTTTCTTGCTCAGTTAAGATGATAATGGGTTGCTCTTATCATTTGACTAATAACCAGTGATTAAGGACCTTAATTGGGCTCTGGCTTGTCAAGGTCCCAAGCCCAAGTCAACAGTCTGACTCGGCCAACTCTCCATAACAATTACACCACAAAGGCAACCCACGACTTGGTCAGAGTCGCCCCTAGTCTTAGGTATTCAGTCCCAGTCACCAATTTTTAATTACTAAATCATTTCCCTTTCTGGCGCTCCCCCCTTCTCACCCCTTCACTGCCCCATTCCTCCCCCCATCCCTCCCAAATTTTTTTTAATCACTAATAATAGAGCATAAGGTAAGTAATAATTATTAATTTCTTTTATGAGCTTTGGATGGTGTTTGACTGATGCTCTACTTCATTGTCGCTAATTTGTGGTCCATATTTGGAACCACAGGGAGCTATGACCATGCACTCTATATTCATACCATAAGTTCTATTTTCGCTATCAAATTCATCACTGGTTGGGCCTCGATCTCGTCGTGACCTGGGACCCGGTGTGAGGCCTGGCCCGGGATCGCCCTCTCAAAAAACCACGGGGTGCCCCGTGCGCGCACGTGTATTGCATGTTGCACGTCCGTGTGTGGGTGCGGATAGGTGTCCCAACATGTGAGAGGGATTTTGTGCGGTGAGTGGTTCAACTACTTACCTCGCGGCGGGTTGGGTTCGTGGATGCGCCTAGGCCCTTGTGAGCCCTCTTAGATCACTCTTGTGAAAGCCCCTTGGCCTTCTCAGTCGGGTTTGGAACTTGCTTCCTTCTCAGTTCACGGCTGCTCTTGTATTTTCGCACTGGTTGAACGTACTTAGAAGGGGGGTGGCTTAGAAGAGGTTTAGAGTTGGGTTGACTTTAAGGGAGATGGTGGATGAAATAAGAAGCTAGAGGAGGAAGGAGAGGTAACCTCCCAGGAATTGGGCAGCCTTTTGGTGTGACCTCCCTCAGGAGGTAATACTGGATACACGGAAGGAAAAGGTACTAGGGACAAGGCTCTAGTACCTCGGAGGATTCAAGAAAGTGGAGTCCGAGAGTTAAAAAACTTGTCAGAGAATCACTTGTTGAAGAGTCCCCTAATCAATGGAGTAGGTGAGAAAGAAAGTGTGAACAAGGAGAAGAAAGAAGAGTAAGAGAGAAGAGAGGGAAGCAAAGGGGACCAACTACTCATAAAGTAGCCTCGTAGATCGCCCTGGGTCTGAGTGGAAGAGAGAGAAGGCAAAAGGAGAGAAAAAGGAAAAGAGAGAGGAGAGAGGAGAGAGAGTGGACCTAGAATGAGCTTGAACTTAGGTGCGCCTTCAAGGGTCCCTTTGCATGCACTTTAGAGAGAGGTCTTGGTCCTTGTGAGTCAAGGCTAGGGTCTAGGCTTTAGGTGTATGGGCTTAAGTGAGCTACGGTAACGTATGGTGTATGGAAACTAGGGTGCATACACTAGGTTGGTATGCATGGAAGATTGAGGGTGTATAGATGCTAGTATGAGATAAGGTAGGGTGTAGGAAAGCTAAGGCGTATGGGGTACTATGGTGTATGGAGTAGGGTAGGGTGTAGGAAAACTAAGGTAGGGTGTAGGGTGTATGGAATAGAATTGGGAGTTGGGAGTTCTAGGGTGTATGGGAGTTAGAGTGTATGGGGTAGGATTGTGAGTTGGGAATCCTAGGGAAGTTGGAATTTTGGGGTTCTAGGGAGTGAAAGGTTCCTAGGGGTATTTTCTCTCTCTAGGAATTGTTTCTCTCTCCTCTCTACTTGAGTCTTGGGTTTGGAATCAAAGCAAAAGAAGAAGCTTAAGCTCTTAGAATTCTCAAGCTCTTCTCATTAATTTCCAAAACTCTCAAGAGTCTCATAACAAATGACTTCACTTTGCTTATATAGAGTAACCCCAAAACATGGGTGGATACTCAAAAACCTCTAGAATTGTTGAAAACTACACATTTAATGAATAAAAATATTAATCCCGTTTTTGGAATTAATGACCAAAATACCC